GATGCAAATCAATTTTTAGGCCAATTTAGCTAACTTCCGCAGCTGAAACATCCAAAAAATCCCACTACGACTAAAAATGAAATTTCAAAAACTCACATGCGGATGCCTGTTTCGAAACAAAGCAGCGCCCGAATGAGCGATCTAGTTCTCTGTTAAAAAAATATTAACTCTTTCAAAACGAATACTAACCCGTTCCACTTCATTTTGTATATATTCAATCGGGGCACCGACTATTTTCTTCTTCATCGCAATATGTGCTGTTGTTGCACGCTCGGCGGTTGCCACATCAACAGGCATTTCGCCATTTTTCATTTCTTCCCGGAAACTTTCGAAACTGCGCAAAACATCAATCGTTTGCCAAATGAGCTTTTCAAGTTCCTGAAACGAAATCATCAAAATCAATAATAAAAAAATACATACAATAGAGATCATGATCCTGCGATACGAGAAATAGAAATGAGGGACAAAGATCAACAAAACCAACACACGAAGTCTTAATAATATCGAGATAAATTTGTCGATATAAATGTTTAAAGACAACCAAAACTGATAAATCTGAAGAAGTCGGCAGCGTTTCTTACAACTGCACCAGCACGCCGATGTGAATTTATGAAAATTTCCGAAACTGATACATTTGATAAAGAAACCAGCAAGCCGGGTAACTTTAGCAGACTGTCGAAACTGACAGAAATGAATGAAACCGGCAATGCTAATTTATCAATGAATACCCAGTTTTTGAATAGGAAACCAGTTTTCAGAGTGAAATATTACCATTCGAGTTTCCAGCCATTCGTCGTGATCATAAAACAACGAGCCACCCAAATCGCGTGTTAGCTGGGACGGATCGATGTAACGCGTCAGCCCATCCACAGAAATCATCTGTACATCAAATTTATATTTGCCCGTAGACACCGAAGTCTTGTGCTTCTCCCAAAACTTATCCGGTTTTATGATCAGCACGGCGTGCACCTCCGCCGGGAAGTGTTCCTGTAATACAAACACAAATAAGATATCCCAAATCCACCTGAGCTCAGCACCGTATTTCCAGCAAAAAAGGGTACTGCTGCTACCTGAATGCATTTCAGGATGGGCTTAACATTGCTCCATGTCGTCCCTTTACGCATATCAATGA